CCCCCCAACCAACCCATTTTATTCGTTAGCCACAGGACCTCCTTCCATCCCCCTCTTGTCTCCCTCCTTCCCTGGACTTTATCTGCATTTCTCTAACCTGAGTGTTTTTTACCATAATTTTTTTGTCTTTCCTTCCTGTCTTCTTCCTTTTTGCCTTTTCACCCACTTTCCTTTTCTCATTTCTTCTCCTGTGCTCCTTTTGGCTCTTCTTTTGTTGTACAGCCTTCTTTTTCCTCTTTGCATCTTTTAGTGCATTCTTGCCTTCTGCTCCTCTCCTTTTCACACCCCTACATATCTCCCACCTAACACCTTTCCCTCCATTCTCTCCCTTTTTACATCCCACTCTTACTTCCATTCTACTCTCCTTTCTCTCTTTCTCTCTCCAGACATGAACCTCACGCTTGCCTTATTGATTTCTGAAAGCAACAGACAGCTAATGTAGGGCCCAGAAATTGTGCACACGGAGGATTCAAGACATCCATGTACATGCATATGGACTAGATACACACGCAGACTCCAAGAAACAGCAGTTTTGCACTGAATATTGAAATGATGCCAAAATGATTAACACAAGTTTTTGTTTGGGAGAAAGTGAGAGAGAAGAAGGGGGAGAGAAGGTGCCTGTAGATGGCAGAAGAGTGCTTCAAGGGAGCATTTGGGAGCAGGTTTCACAAACACACACATACATTCAGGCATGCAAGCCAGTTCGCTGTCACATATTCCTGCTAACTCTCACATAGATGCATGTACACAATTTCACCAGTGTTGGATATTCCTCCACCACATAAACATTTCTTAAAATCATTTCAGAACAGAAAAGCACACATGCCCCGTTTACTCGCCTCTTCTCCGCACACTCAGATGCTGTAAATTACACCAGAGCTGCACTCAAACTGAGAATCAATGATCAGGAAATCAAAAGCACCGTTACTAATTTAATACTATTAATTACCTACTGAGAGAGAATGGCTTGTATTGTTTTTTTCTATTTGTGTGTGTGTGTTTGTGCCAAACACCAACCATAGCAGGAATGAATCCCACGTAGATGGGTGGATATACTGCAGGATTGCAATGCACAGATATGATCATGGCAGGATTAACTTACAGAAAAGTAGTTTAGATTACAATGAAGGCTGAGTTTGAAGATGGGTGTGGTCTAACACTGTGGTACTGAGTAAGTGGTGACAGAAGTGCACGTCCCACATGCTTGTTTTAACTCCCTATTGACAGACAGATGTAGTAGTCGTGACTAACATAAACCCATTGCAAGATGGTCTCTACTAATGACATGGGAGTAAAACAGACCAAAAATTATGGCTTCCCAAATGGGGGTAGCATATTAGCACTTGAGCCTCTATATAATAACACTTAATGAACTAAATTTATTTATATTTTATATATTTTAAGAGTAGTGCCATCTAGGAAGTGTAAGTGTTAAATATTGTCTGGCAAAGGATAATTGTTTTTACAGTTAGATGCTTTGAAAGACTTTTTGAGCCCTGGATTGGATGTGTGTGTGCACATCTCAGCTTGGAGTTGTTGCAACTAAGTTTTACTGGATCTAATAACATTTGATTATCAGATAAAGATAAACAACATAAAAAATGAAGATAAGGAAAAGAAATTTTAAGATAAGGAGTATGTCAGAAGACTAACTGACACAAAAGTTAACAGAAAACAGAACTGTGGATTGGAGATTGGGTTTGGTAGCTTTTACTGCTCATATTCAGCAACTTCTAGTGTTGTTTTTCATTGATACTTTATATTGTAAAGAATGGTGTGATTAACATTTCATTTTTGGTAGTTATCTAAGTAAGTAACCCCATCTACAGTACATACAGCTACACTCAACCATTCAAAAAACTTCAGCTACAAGCTCAAATTGTGTCAGCTGGTATGGCTTCAAGAACTAGATCTCACAGAAATCTCAAGTCTGAATACAACTTAACCTTGAAGGGAAACCATGAGGTAACGGGTGATTGGAGATCAGTTCTGATGCAATTCCTTCCTCTAAAGGGTGAATTAAAAAATGGATGTACGTGAAAAATGGATAGCCACAGAGTACACTTGGTCGTTAAAATCAATTTTAGAACAACTTTTACATCAGATGTCATGATTTAGTGTAGAATCACTGATGCCATTATACAATTTTCTGTCTCTTTGTTTGTGGTTTGAATACAAATCAACTTGCACAAACTTTTAAGCTGGATAATTGGCTGACAGAATTCATTTAATGAAGCCAGTATCAGTAATTTCCCAACTTGTTTGCACAAATGTTTTGTACATTTGAATATTTGTAGCACATTTTAAATGTAGACTTTTTGTTAGTTTGGCATCAACAACAATTTGACCATTGGGATTTGTTACACAGTGAATGTTGACTAACAAGAGTGGACAACAAGCCAACATATACTCTTCTTCTCTTTTTGTGCTGCCTGCAAATTTCAACTGAATAAAGACACAAAAGTTTAATCCAAGAAATTTTGAGGATTGCTGGAAAGTTGTGATATCAAAAGTGACAACACAAACTGTTTAAAGAAAAACAATGCATAATTATCCATTTTCTTCTCTCTGTGCAATTCAGGGTTGCGGATGCCTGTCACAGCTGTCACCACTTAACCAAACACTATGGATTTGACTACTGGGGCAACCTGAAGTACCCACTGTGGACCATTGCAATTATATGCAAATTCCACACAGACATGCCTGGATACCTGGATTTTAACCCAGGACCTTTTTGCTGTGAGTAAGTTGGAAATATTATAATTCCTTACGGAAATAATCAGGTTGGTATCTTGTCTTAAATCAAACCATTACATGAAACTGAAAAACCCAGAAATGCACAGATGGGAATCTAACCTAACAAAGACTAATGAAAATGAACTTTTTGCAGAGATATTCAATCTAAATTCCCCATTATGTCCAACAGTGGGTTAACGACACTCAATGGGATTAACCTTCCTTTCAGTGTAATGGACAATGCTTGTTAATTGGAAGGTGGAGAAATTGGATTCTTTTAATATAGACACCAGGCTTAAAGATTATTTGGATTCGGTGTCAATGGAGCAAGCAGCATTGGCTCATCAAGGTCTTCATCCACCCACATAGCCTCTTTAAGCCTGCTAAGTATCAACATAAGGCTGTAACAAAAATCATAGAACCATATGTAGACTTTTTTTCTTTTTTGGACATTTCTGATTTTAATCCAGGCTTTAACAGATGAAAGTCATGACACAGCGATGTGTTTTTTCCTATGCCAATTGTTTCCCTTCAGCATATAAAAAGCAAGAAATGAATCTAAATAAATCAATACATAAACTCCAAAACTGCACACTGGAGGGACCTGACCTGTTGGGTGTTTAGTCATGGTCACCTCTTTGCCTTGCCTCCATGTTACTTTGTATTTAGTCCATTATTTCTTACCCTTCTTTCCTACCCTTTTGGGGGGAGGAAAAACAAAAAAAAGATACATTTACTGCATAGATATGGTAAGCTAAATGCGCCTGAAGTGGCATGCTATTTATACCCACTTGCAAACTATTATGAGGTTATCATTCTTTGGTAATGACTTGGTGCATTTACACATTTCGCCTGTGGACTTTGTTAATATAAAGTGGAGGCAAGAAGCTCTGCAAATATACCAAAATAGGGCATTGCCTCTAAACATATTCAAAGCATTAGCTTAAAGTATTTTAGATACCTTCAAGGGATCAGCAGTGCACTTCAGTCGGCATTAGATACACTCAAACATTTCTGTCTACCATTTACCGCCAAATTCCCACGTTTTCCTCCTTGTATTGATTTTATTTCAAAAGACAAATGGAGTAATTGAGTGATGACTGTTAGTTGATCATTAGTTGGCCCATGTTACTAATTATGAGTTTAATTACCATTTGCTTTAAGATGTACCTTTTGAGTATTTGTTTTTTTTTTCCCCATTTATAATAAATTTTGACTAGACGTTCAGTTTTGGTAAGAAACCATTCCCTGACACCGGTGTAAACCAATGAACACTGTCCTTTTTACAGAGCTGCAGTGGCAAAGAGTGACACCGAGTCAATTTTAGGCTATTATTTCCGACCAAACGCACGTGAATAGAAGCGGGAGCTTACGATGAGCTCTTGAAAGCAGCATCCCTGTATCAGCGCAGAGGGAAGAGACGCACCAACCAGTACACCAGGAGAGAAGACCACAGCACACCGAGCAGAGGGAACGATGCACGTCTCCTAGGGGTTCTGACAAGAGGGATTTTCACTATCCTTTCCTCGTTTGGTTTTCCCAAGAGAACTTAAGGACTGGCTCAACATCACGAGCGAGCTCTGGTTTGACTTGTTTGGTGAGGATAATGAGACGCAGTGACTGTGACGCTTTTTTTGAAAAGAAGTCGAATGAATGAGAAACGGTGAGATCAATTTCTCTTATTTGGGGAGGTAAAGATACATTTTTTTCAGCGCAATTGTTTGTGAAGAAAGAACGAAATTAAGAAAGACAGAAAGAAAGCAAAAGGAGGTGCAGAGAAGGGAAAGAAAAAGAAGCTTTGACACACGCACGGAAGAGAGGAAGATTTTCCGAACAGATACCCTATTAAAAACAGATATCCCTGTTCATTTTTGAGATATTCAGCGGTGAGAAAAAAAGTCAAGGGGATATACATATTTTTTAAAAGACAGAACAAGAGGGAACGCGCAGTATACATAAGAGCACAGGAGGAGAGGCATATAAGAAGGGAAAACGCCACAGAGCCTAATATTTTCAGACTGAAGAGGAGATGCAGCTGAGGGGAAGTGTGGATTTGAAGCTCTCCCTCCCTCTCTATCACTTTTCTGCAATGGAACGGGACGGAATAGAGAGGTACTGACGACAAGCACCGCTAAAACCTAGCGGAGAGTGGATTTAAAGACAGAGAGGCAACCTGTGCGCCCGTCCCTTCCACCCCTCTGCTTCTCTGGGCTTTTTTTCTCTCCCTCGGTGGATGTTGACTGAATTTATTAGATTTTTTTTCGGATATGAAGGATTTATCTAGTCTATGTTAGAAGGAGGCGGCAAAGAAAACGCACGCGTCTCCCGTTTCTCTCCCCCTCTCTCTTTCTCTCTCTATCTCTCCCACTCTCTCTCTTTCTCTCTCCCTCCGTTTTCTGGATGTGAAGCAGCATGCGGCCCGGTGAGAGCTTAGAGGGCTCGAGCTCGGCTCACGGAAGATGTATTGATGCTAATAATATTACTAATAGCGGCACGGAACGCTATCTCACGCACCTCTCGTCGGCTACGAGGAGGATGAAGAGGGTGACGACGAAGAGGAGGATGAGGGGGACGAACGAGAGGATGAGGGACGGAGGAATGACGGCGATGCGCTGTTTTCTGTGGAGTCTCGTTCTCTGCTCGCTCTCATCGCGCGCCCAAGGTAAGGGGATGCGACACCCGCAAACACACAGACACACGCGCGCATACACAGACAGTTAATAAGCGAACCCACACGCAGTCACACGGTTTGAGTGAGAATGGCCGGCAGTACATTTTTTCTTCTTCTTCTTTTAATTTTTTCTTCTTTTTCTTTACTGATGCAGTCAAGCGCGCGCGCGTTTGTAAAGAGGAAAGTGTGGGTGTGCTTCTGCTAGTGTGCGAGAGGTGTCTGCGTGCGCGCGAGGATGTCTGCGAGGTGTCAGTGCAAGAGTGTGAGTGAGAAGGGGTTGGGGATGTATGCGTGGATGTATGGTGTGTTGCGGGGCAAAGCAGAGAAAAAAGAATTGGCATACAGGTAGGATGAAGGGAAAGAGGGAGAGATGAGTGGAACAGGCAACAGCTTCTCTCCCTCTTTCCTCGTTTTCTGGTTGCTTCAGTTTGCTCTCTCTCTCTCTCTCTCTCTCTCTCTCTCTCTCTCTCATCCTTCTCTTCAATACAGCCATTGAGCTGGTAGCCAATAAATATTCTTGCGGTAGCTCTTGGGCTGTGGCAGCGAACGTGAGTTGCTTATACCAAAGTGTGTGCGGGAGTGTGTTTGTCTGTGTGTGTGTGTGCATGAGTGTGAACGTGAGTTGCTTCTAGTGATGAGGCCCAAGCCTTACACAGCATTTTATTCCCAAACCTCCTCCACCATGACCATTTCTTCTTCTTCTTCTTCTTTTTTTTTCTGAAACTGCATTTCAGTCAAAAGATGTTATATAATTCTGGTGTCCCCCCCACCACCTCTTTTTCTTTTCTATCTTAGACACTTTCTGTCCTTGTCCTTGCTCTTTCTCTTCCCCCTCCCTCTCTCCTCCTTGTTTCACTTGCTCCCACTCTTTCCTTTCTTGAGTGAAATAAAATGTTAAAATATTCACAGCGTGGCACCCCCTCTCCTGCCTTCTTTGTCTGTCTTTCCCTGCTTTCCATTTTTAGTCCTGTCTTTCTGATCCTTTTCAAAAAATGTCGTATGAACGCGCACATTTGAGTGAGCTCACACACCCAGGCAAACGCAGTCACTGCTGCGTCAGGTGAGGCTTTTGTGGTGTTTAGAGTAACCGAGTCTTAATCATCGCATCTAGAGGAAAGGATGGTGTAGAAGAGGGAAAAGATGGATAGAGAAGAAGTAGAGGAAGTAGGGATGTGGGAAGAGGGAAGGTGAGCTGAGTGACAGAGAGAGGGAGAAATAACACGATAGGAAGAAGACAGAACAAGTTTAGAGACTCGAGCAGGACCAGGTTTCTAACTGAGCCTGCCCCTTCTATGGGCTTCTGATAACACCCAGCCAAGGTAGTTTCATAAGAAAATATGGCTTCATAAGGGGATAGACTAAGCCTGAAAATTGCACAAGAAGGAAAAGGAAACCTCAAAAATCCAGCTCCAGTGGAAGCTACTGAGAACCGTTTGTCATTGTCATTGCAAAGTCTGTATCATCCTCCAGTGCGGGGAGATTGTGTGTAGGCTGACTGAACAGAAATACTATGGATTTCTACAGCGATTAAGCGAATCGACACAGGGACAGTCTAGACGTGCGGTTTTGCACCATCACAGCATGCAGTGTCGTAGTTTAACGCTAAAAAAAATAACACCCAGGAAACTCCAGACTTTTTTTGTTGCCGATTTCAAAAATACTTTTTTTTTTGTTATGGTTCACTTTGATGGACAGATGAGAGATTGTGATTTGTAGGGTGCCAACTGAACAAAGGCAAGAAAGGTAGGATTTCCTCAGGCGCAGAAGATCTAATTTTAAACCCTCGGGGGCACAGATCCTGGCACTGATCTCCTCGCAGCTGTCAAGCCTGTGATAGACCTCATAGCAGCAGATATTTTTAAAAATACTTCTTGGGATAGCTGTTTTATTTAAAGCAGTCTAAAGAGTATCTTTAGAGAAATGCTAATTCTTATTAGGATCAATCGAATGTCAAAGGTATAGAAGCTGGCAAAGCAAGCGGGCAAATAAAGCCTTCTTTAAACGTACAGAGGCTGGAATAAAAAGTAAATAAATGTGTAATTAAATGTCCCCTTGATCCATGCTGACATTTTCAGGACCAAGGCTTTAAAAAGAAGCTGGAAAATTAAAAGCAGCCACCAGCCAAACGCTGTTACATTTTGGCTGTGGCTGGCAAATTAGTCTACTCCACCGGCCATTGGCAGGTAACCAATCATTGTATGGACCTGCAATTCTATTCTAAAAAGCAATCTGGAAGGTAAAGTAATGAACAAGGCGGTAATGGATTCACACGCTGCTGTAGCCAGTGGACAAAAACATTAATTTCTCAACTTGCTTAACACATTTGACACAAAGATACAGTACCATTTCTGGAGAAGTAGCATCTTTTGTCATGATGCGGGACTTTAATTGAGGAGTCGGTGTTCCTCAAAGTCTTTGTGCAATGAAAGGACTTTAAAGAGGTCATTCATGGAGAGAGCTGATGAAAGGTTTCAATACTCCTAATTTCTTTGGACTCTGTATCTGAGAGGTGATTATAAAAGTGCTACTCTTTCGTTATGTTTAAAATTAAGTTTTTCTTAACAGTATATCTTGAAAAAATTGCTGTAGTCGTACTCTGCTCTTCTTCTCGCCACTTGTCCTTTCTCCGTTTCATCTGTTCAGCTCTCCTCCTCCTCCCTGCTGCTCTGCTCTCCTCAGCTCATCTCTACCTCTCCTCTCACCCCTTCTCCTGTCGCCTGCTCCTCTATTTTTCTCTCCTCCGCTCAGCATTTCTTCTGTGCTCTCAGCTCTCCTCTAGGCTCCCTCTCTTCATTTCATCTGTCAGATTTGTCCTGTGGCTCCAGAGGCTTAATTTACTCACCAAACATACTAAATTGCACATGTGCACATGCACGCAAGGAAAAACCCACACACATTTTTCACCGTCTCCCAGACCTAAATGTAATCTGGGCTACATTCAACTTGTCAGAATCAAAACGAGAGCTGTGTCCAACCTCTCAACCTGCATGTGCGCAGCAAATATGGATTTGAGCTGTTTTTCAGCAGTGCCACCAGAGATATAACCTTAGAGATTTTTTTAATGACACTATAGATCTCATCAGCACCCAATTTAAAGGACCAACGCTGACTAGTTGAATACGACCAATTATCAATTAGATAGTCGGGTCATTGTCTTCCAGTCATCAGTAGGGTGTAGAATTACATACTGTTTCTGCTGATAGCTAGAATCAGGCATGTGACCATGCAATTAACCCATAAGGCTAAAAATAGCTAATTTAATTTATATTGATTAGCCATGTAGTACTTTGTTCTTGCAACATGAAGAAATTGAAATTTATCAGACATCCTCTGGTAGCATCTAGTAATTTAATGCTGGTCATCAGTGTTAAATTGCAAAGGCTCTAAGGCACGGGGAAACGGTCCACCACCCAGACTTTACAGCTCATCTCTGCATATCAAAGAATGATTGGAGCAGTCCACAACCCTGATGCTGATTATAAGTCATTGATTGATGTTGTCTATTAATATGCCCCAACTGATCATTTATCTGTGTTAGTTAGGGGGCAAAAATCACTTGATATTCTATCTACAATTGATACTATGTCTTATTGCTGAAACTCACAGAGGGAACTTTTTGTCTCTGCTAGACACATTGTACATTTGGACTATTAGAACACTGTGTTCATAATGAGCCAGAGCAGCATACTCACACAGCAAAGACTTTCTAACACACATTTAATCCTGTGGCTCATGGCTGGTTTCTCAGGGAGGAAGATGTGTCTGTCGTAGAGTCAGCCTCTTGATCGTATAAATACTTTTGGCTTGCAGAGACAGAGAAAGGAGAAGATGAGGCGAGGTTCAACGGTAAGCATGTAAGGCAATTACCAATTGTGGTTTCTTTAACAAAAACCTGGGCTCAGATTGTCCCACTTCTTATCTCACCCTTTCCTACTGTTTAATCTTGATCATTCTCAACCTTTGTGCTGGTGTCTTTTGTGTCCTTTACTACTTCTAACCACCTTTTTTTTAATTGTTGTGCTTATTGTTTCTTCATTTGTTTGAGCCTTACCTATAGAAATATTTCAGTGCCTATTTTGAAACATGACTAAACCTAAAGCACCAAGAAAAGTAAGTGACGCGGAGCTTGAAATGTTTCAGTTTTAATAATTAAAACATCCAAGATCCAGTTTTTGTTAACGATCCTGTGGGAATCTAGTTTGACAAAATGAAAAAAGAAAATGTGCTCAGTAGAGTGTAGACCTCCACCAAGCAGGTAGAGAGTCATTTGTACCCAGTCTACTTTAATGCACTTGTGTGCAGGCTAATAATCCTCACTTGGTTTTTTTATTACCCTGAAGTGCCAGACGTGCTGTCATTGCCATTTATGTTTGCTTTATTTCATGCCCAGTAACCCTTTTATTTATGTTCTATTAAGTGTTTTTTGCTGCTGCCATCTACACCTGAATTTATGTGATTTCTTTCATAGTTAACTCTAAATTTGAAGTAGTTCTCACTTATTAAACGGCGGTAGGACTCCGTACATCTCCATGGCAGAGGTTTGTGCTCTACTGGGTGCAAAGATGTATAGGTAGTATAAATGTGCAGGTAGTTTTCAAGATCTGCATTTTTCGAACACGTGATTTGCAGCAGCTTTCCATTTGTAGTAGTAAGTTAACATTACTAGTGTAAATGTTGGGTTTGCATATTGAGATGTTTGCCAGTCAAACCGAAAGATGAATCCAAATGAGTGTCATTGCTCTTAGACTGCTTTTCCGATGCTTTGCCAAGTTTTTTGTGTTAAAGAACGGACTTGTAGTGTCTCCTGGCTGTCTGTCACTGTCGACTGTGAAAGAAAATTACTCCATACGTCTGTCGTTTTTGCTGTTGACAGTTGACATAGGTACTTGTACTTTCAGCCACGTCTTGTCAATTCAAAGGTAAAGAAAACATGGGAGAGAAAATGACAAAATGCTGACATGCACACTGTGCCTTCAGGGTGTGGAACACTG